AGGCCTAAAAACCACATACGGACAGAACTATATTCTACGCTAGCATCTATTATTTACACTTTCTTATTTTTTGCTAACTTTAAACATTTTTGCAAATTTAAAACATACAATTAAACATTACTGCCAAGCGATCATCGATACATCGATACATATACGCGCGCACTGATCTCAATACTATACCTTCCACTTTGCCGTCACTAAGTGATATTCTTGAAATTGTCATGAGCTGCGAGTTGTGTACTACGATATGGTTGCGAATGTGAAACTGTTCAAACTTATAAATACCCTAATAGTGAAAAGCATTTAATGCTTATAAGGAACTAAAGTACGAATTAAACAAATTTAGTGAATTTCAATCAAGTGTAAGTCTTTGAAACTAACAGTGCCTATAAAAGCCCCAAATAACCGGTGTCTGTCTGTGTGTAAATAGGCACATATGCAATTAATTGTAAGTGAAACATAATTCAGGGCTTCTGACAAGTGAAATTTAGTCCTGCATGTCCAAAAAGAGTCCCAAAATAGTGTGTGCCAAGTGTGTCCACCTGCATGAATAAATGCATATATCCAAACACAAATTTAATCTAGTGAATAATCCACCAAATTATGCCATACAACTCCAATTTTGTCCATAAAAGTCTGAAAATAGTGCGCGATCAATTATTCCACAATTTTAGAGGAACCAATTTAAAGGCCTAACATTCCGACAAAAAGTGTAGAACAATAAATCAAGACCAAAAATCCCATTTAAATTTGAGAAAATCCGGGGTAAGTCTCGTACTAAACTTCTGCCAAATAACCCCAAATGATTTGCCCAGAGGAGTCTCAAAATGGCGTGCACATAGCAATTTCACCACTAGCGCCACGTATACATGCACAAACTTGCAGCTGCAGACAATTTTGGCGACGACCATTATGGCGCCCGGTCAGACTGACGCGCAATATACCCAGAACATTCCTTTTGGTCGGCATTGCCAGGCCTAAATTCTAACCTAAATAATAATATACTACAATGAATACTTGAATGTTATATAAAACTTATTATACGCCTATATCTATCCTTAAATAATAATCTTATAACCTTCTTGCAAATTACGAAATCTTAGTAGCGCGGTTAAATTTGTGCGCAAAACTTTTTTGAATTCATGAATGTCCGTTCTAAAATGTAAATACATACATGCATACGTGCCGCTGCATATGCTTGGAATTTTGATGGCCATTATACCGACGCCAACCCAAGCTGGCACATATGCACATACATATATGTTCATAAGCCTGTCGGCAACTGCCAAGAATATAAAAACACAATTGCAAATAATCGAATTTAACCAATTGACAAGCCTCTACAGACAATATGTATCAACATTCAAATTGCTAGCGAATTATATATTGTACACATATGAACACACTGGTCTGCTGGGTGGTTGCCCACCCAAATTTGTTAGTGTAAAAATTGGTAGAAATCGTTCAGCTGGCACTTATACATATACATATCCAAATTTTCCCAACAATTGTGACTGACACTGCTAAACTGAGCATAATTTTCCTGACTCTTTACCAATTTAAAATACAATACACAATCCATATTTTTGCTTGATAACATTTTGCTAGGTGATCGTCGATATATCGATACAGTGACAGGCGTACTGACCTCAAACGATAGTTTTCTCTCTGCCGCCACTAGGCGATAGTCTCGAAATTGTCATAAGCTGCGAGTTGTCTCTATAAAATGGTCGTGAGTTTAAAATTGGCGGAAATTGAAAAAGTCATCGAGCAAGTTGAAACTTATTAAAACACTAATAGTGGAAGCATTTACTGCTGATATAAACCTAAAAGCGTGTTAAATAATCAAATTAAGGTATTCTATGCAAATTCCTCAAAATAGTGCGTGAAAAATTATTTCACAATAATGAAAATCAAATGGTGGCTGCCTGCAAAAATAAATTCATAAATACATATATAGTGATCACTCAACCAAACTACGCCATATAGTTAAGAAATCTGGATCAAAAAATTCCTCAAATTAGTGTGTGAATAATTATTTTGCAATTAACAAAATAACCGGTGTCCGTCTGTGAATTGACAAGCAACAAATTGAAGGCCTAATTACCACCAAAAGTGAAAGACATATAATAAAGACCAAAGTCCCATTCAAATCTGAGAATAACTGGGGTAAGGCTCAAACCAAAAAATTTTTACATATATAACCCCAAATTTGCCCAGTTGAGTCTCGAAATGGAGCGCGCATAATAATTTCATCACAAGCGTCACCTATACATGCACAAACTTGCAGCTGCAGACAATTTTGGCGACGGCCACAGCGGCGCCCTGCCAGACTGACGCACACACACACACACAAATTTTCTAAGAAATTTTCTACCCAACATTGCCAGGCCTAAAAACCACATACGGACAGAACTATATTCTACGCTAGCATCTATTATTTACACTTTCTTATTTTTTGCTAACTTTAAACATTTTTGCAAATTTAAAACATACAATTAAACATTACTGCCAAGCGATCATCGATACATCGATACATATACGCGCGCACTGATCTCAATACTATACCTTCCACTTTGCCGTCACTAAGTGATATTCTTGAAATTGTCATGAGCTGCGAGTTGTGTACTACGATATGGTTGCGAATGTGAAACTGTTCAAACTTATAAATACCCTAATAGTGAAAAGCATTTAATGCTTATAAGGAACTAAAGTACGAATTAAACAAATTTAGTGAATTTCAATCAAGTGTAAGTCTTTGAAACTAACAGTGCCTATAAAAGCCCCAAATAGCCGGTGTCTGTCTGTGTGTAAATAGGCACATATGCAATTAATTGTAAGTGAAACATAATTCAGGGCTTCTGACAAGTGAAATTTAGTCCTGCATGTCCAAAAAGAGTCCCAAAATAGTGTGTGCCAAGTGTGTCCACCTGCATGAATAAATGCATATATCCAAACACAAATTTAATCTAGTGAATAATCCACCAAATTATGCCATACAACTCCAATTTTGTCCATAAAAGTCTGAAAATAGTGCGCGATCAATTATTCCACAATTTTAGAGGAACCAATTTAAAGGCCTAACATTCCGACAAAAAGTGTAGAACAATAAATCAAGACCAAAAATCCCATTTAAATTTGAGAAAATCCGGGGTAAGTCTCGTACTAAACTTCTGCCAAATAACCCCAAATGATTTGCCCAGAGGAGTCTCAAAATGGCGTGCACATAGCAATTTCACCACTAGCGCCACGTATACATGCACAAACTTGCAGCTGCAGACAATTTTGGCGACGACCATTATGGCGCCCGGTCAGACTGACGCGCAATATACCCAGAACATTCCTTTTGGTCGGCATTGCCAGGCCTAAATTCTAACCTAAATAATAATATACTACAATGAATACTTGAATGTTATATAAAACTTATTATACGCCTATATCTATCCTTAAATAATAATCTTATAACCTTCTTGCAAATTACGAAATCTTAGTAGCGCGGTTAAATTTGTGCGCAAAACTTTTTTGAATTCATGAATGTCCGTTCTAAAATGTAAATACATACATGCATACGTGCCGCTGCATATGCTTGGAATTTTGATGGCCATTATACCGACGCCAACCCAAGCTGGCACATATGCACATACATATATGTTCATAAGCCTGTCGGCAACTGCCAAGAATATAAAAACACAATTGCAAATAATCGAATTTAACCAATTGACAAGCCTCTACAGACAATATGTATCAACATTCAAATTGCTAGCGAATTATATATTGTACACATATGAACACACTGGTCTGCTGGGTGGTTGCCCACCCAAATTTGTTAGTGTAAAAATTGGTAGAAATCGTTCAGCTGGCACTTATACATATACATATCCAAATTTTCCCAACAATTGTGACTGACACTGCTAAACTGAGCATAATTTTCCTGACTCTTTACCAATTTAAAATACAATACACAATCCATATTTTTGCTTGATAACATTTTGCTAGGTGATCGTCGATATATCGATACAGTGACAGGCGTACTGACCTCAAACGATAGTTTTCTCTCTGCCGCCACTAGGCGATAGTCTCGAAATTGTCATAAGCTGCGAGTTGTCTCTATAAAATGGTCGTGAGTTTAAAATTGGCGGAAATTGAAAAAGTCATCGAGCAAGTTGAAACTTATTAAAACACTAATAGTGGAAGCATTTACTGCTGATATAAACCTAAAAGCGTGTTAAATAATCAAATTAAGGTATTCTATGCAAATTCCTCAAAATAGTGCGTGAAAAATTATTTCACAATAATGAAAATCAAATGGTGGCTGCCTGCAAAAATAAATTCATAAATACATATATAGTGATCACTCAACCAAACTACGCCATATAGTTAAGAAATCTGGATCAAAAAATTCCTCAAATTAGTGTGTGAATAATTATTTTGCAATTAACAAAATAACCGGTGTCCGTCTGTGAATTGACAAGCAACAAATTGAAGGCCTAATTACCACCAAAAGTGAAAGACATATAATAAAGACCAAAGTCCCATTCAAATCTGAGAATAACTGGGGTAAGGCTCAAACCAAAAAATTTTTACATATATAACCCCAAATTTGCCCAGTTGAGTCTCGAAATGGAGCGCGCATAATAATTTCATCACAAGCGTCACCTATACATGCACAAACTTGCAGCTGCAGACAATTTTGGCGACGGCCACAGCGGCGCCCTGCCAGACTGACGCACACACACACACACAAATTTTCTAAGAAATTTTCTACCCAACATTGCCAGGCCTAAAAACCACATACGGACAGAACTATATTCTACGCTAGCATTTATTATTTACACTTTCTTATTTTTTGCTAACTTTAAACATTTTTGCAAATTTAAAACATACAATTAAACATTACTGCCAAGCGATCATCGATACATCGATACATATACGCGCGCACTGATCTCAATACTATACCTTCCACTTTGCCGTCACTAAGTGATATTCTTGAAATTGTCATGAGCTGCGAGTTGTGTACTACGATACGGTTGCGAATGTGAAACTGTTCAAACTTATAAATACCCTAATAGTGAAAAGCATTTAATGCTTATAAGGAACTAAAGTACGAATTAAACAAATTTAGTGAATTTCAATCAAGTGTAAGTCTTTGAAACTAACAGTGCCCATAAAAGCCCCAAATAGCCGGTGTCTGTCTGTGTGTAAATAGGCACATATGCAATTAATTGTAAGTGAAACATAATTCAGGGCTTCTGACAAGTGAAATTTAGTCCTGCATGTCCAAAAAGAGTCCCAAAATAGTGTGTGCCAAGTGTGTCCACCTGCATGAATAAATGCATATATCCAAACACAAATTTAATCTAGTGAATAATCCACCAAATTATGCCATACAACTCCAATTTTGTCCATAAAAGTCTGAAAATAGTGCGCGATCAATTATTCCACAATTTTAGAGGAACCAATTTAAAGGCCTAACATTCCGACAAAAAGTGTAGAACAATAAATCAAGACCAAAAATCCCATTTAAATTTGAGAAAATCCGGGGTAAGTCTCGTACTAAACTTCTGCCAAATAACCCCAAATGATTTGCCCAGAGGAGTCTCAAAATGGCGTGCACATAGCAATTTCACCACTAGCGCCACGTATACATGCACAAACTTGCAGCTGCAGACAATTTTGGCGACGACCATTATGGCGCCCGGTCAGACTGACGCGCAATATACCCAGAACATTCCTTTTGGTCGGCATTGCCAGGCCTAAATTCTAACCTAAATAATAATATACTACAATGAATACTTGAATGTTATATAAAACTTATTATACGCCTATATCTATCCTTAAATAATAATCTTATAACCTTCTTGCAAATTACGAAATCTCAGTAGCGCGGTTAAATTTGTGCGCAAAACTTTTTTGAATTCATGAATGTCCGTTCTAAAATGTAAATACATACATGCATACGTGCCGCTGCATATGCTTGGAATTTTGATGGCCATTATACCGACGCCAACCCAAGCTGGCACATATGCACATACATATATGTTCATAAGCCTGTCGGCAACTGCCAAGAATATAAAAACACAATTGCAAATAATCGAATTTAACCAATTGACAAGCCTCTACAGACAATATGTATCAACATTCAAATTGCTAGCGAATTATATATTGTACACATATGAACACACTGGTCTGCTGGGTGGTTGCCCACCCAAATTTGTTAGTGTAAAAATTGGTAGAAATCGTTCAGCTGGCACTTATACATATACATATCCAAATTTTCCCAACAATTGTGACTGACACTGCTAAACTGAGCATAATTTTCCTGACTCTTTACCAATTTAAAATACAATACACAATCCATATTTTTGCTTGATAACATTTTGCTAGGTGATCGTCGATATATCGATACAGTGACAGGCGTACTGACCTCAAACGATAGTTTTCTCTCTGCCGCCACTAGGCGATAGTCTCGAAATTGTCATAAGCTGCGAGTTGTCTCTATAAAATGGTCGTGAGTTTAAAATTGGCGGAAATTGAAAAAGTCATCGAGCAAGTTGAAACTTATTAAAACACTAATAGTGGAAGCATTTACTGCTGATATAAACCTAAAAGCGTGTTAAATAATCAAATTAAGGTATTCTATGCAAATTCCTCAAAATAGTGCGTGAAAAATTATTTCACAATAATGAAAATCAAATGGTGGCTGCCTGCAAAAATAAATTCATAAATACATATATAGTGATCACTCAACCAAACTACGCCATATAGTTAAGAAATCTGGATCAAAAAATTCCTCAAATTAGTGTGTGAATAATTATTTTGCAATTAACAAAATAACCGGTGTCCGTCTGTGAATTGACAAGCAACAAATTGAAGGCCTAATTACCACCAAAAGTGAAAGACATATAATAAAGACCAAAGTCCCATTCAAATCTGAGAATAACTGGGGTAAGGCTCAAACCAAAAAATTTTTACATATATAACCCCAAATTTGCCCAGTTGAGTCTCGAAATGGAGCGCGCATAATAATTTCATCACAAGCGTCACCTATACATGCACAAACTTGCAGCTGCAGACAATTTTGGCGACGGCCACAGCGGCGCCCTGCCAGACTGACGCACACACACACACACAAATTTTCTAAGAAATTTTCTACCCAACATTGCCAGGCCTAAAAACCACATACGGACAGAACTATATTCTACGCTAGCATTTATTATTTACACTTTCTTATTTTTTGCTAACTTTAAACATTTTTGCAAATTTAAAACATACAATTAAACATTACTGCCAAGCGATCATCGATACATCGATACATATACGCGCGCACTGATCTCAATACTATACCTTCCACTTTGCCGTCACTAAGTGATATTCTTGAAATTGTCATGAGCTGCGAGTTGTGTACTACGATACGGTTGCGAATGTGAAACTGTTCAAACTTATAAATACCCTAATAGTGAAAAGCATTTAATGCTTATAAGGAACTAAAGTACGAATTAAACAAATTTAGTGAATTTCAATCAAGTGTAAGTCTTTGAAACTAACAGTGCCCATAAAAGCCCCAAATAGCCGGTGTCTGTCTGTGTGTAAATAGGCACATATGCAATTAATTGTAAGTGAAACATAATTCAGGGCTTCTGACAAGTGAAATTTAGTCCTGCATGTCCAAAAAGAGTCCCAAAATAGTGTGTGCCAAGTGTGTCCACCTGCATGAATAAATGCATATATCCAAACACAAATTTAATCTAGTGAATAATCCACCAAATTATGCCATACAACTCCAATTTTGTCCATAAAAGTCTGAAAATAGTGCGCGATCAATTATTCCACAATTTTAGAGGAACCAATTTAAAGGCCTAACATTCCGACAAAAAGTGTAGAACAATAAATCAAGACCAAAAATCCCATTTAAATTTGAGAAAATCCGGGGTAAGTCTCGTACTAAACTTCTGCCAAATAACCCCAAATGATTTGCCCAGAGGAGTCTCAAAATGGCGTGCACATAGCAATTTCACCACTAGCGCCACGTATACATGCACAAACTTGCAGCTGCAGACAATTTTGGCGACGACCATTATGGCGCCCGGTCAGACTGACGCGCAATATACCCAGAACATTCCTTTTGGTCGGCATTGCCAGGCCTAAATTCTAACCTAAATAATAATATACTACAATGAATACTTGAATGTTATATAAAACTTATTATACGCCTATATCTATCCTTAAATAATAATCTTATAACCTTCTTGCAAATTACGAAATCTCAGTAGCGCGGTTAAATTTGTGCGCAAAACTTTTTTGAATTCATGAATGTCCGTTCTAAAATGTAAATACATACATGCATACGTGCCGCTGCATATGCTTGGAATTTTGATGGCCATTATACCGACGCCAACCCAAGCTGGCACATATGCACATACATATATGTTCATAAGCCTGTCGGCAACTGCCAAGAATATAAAAACACAATTGCAAATAATCGAATTTAACCAATTGACAAGCCTCTACAGACAATATGTATCAACATTCAAATTGCTAGCGAATTATATATTGTACACATATGAACACACTGGTCTGCTGGGTGGTTGCCCACCCAAATTTGTCAGTGTAAAAATTGGTAGAAATCGTTCAGCTGGCACTTATACATATACATATCCAAATTTTCCCAACAATTGTGACTGACACTGCTAAACTGAGCATAATTTTCCTGACTCTTTACCAATTTAAAATACAATACACAATCCATATTTTTGCTTGATAACATTTTGCTAGGTGATCGTCGATATATCGATACAGTGACAGGCGTACTGACCTCAAACGATAGTTTTCTCTCTGCCGCCACTAGGCGATAGTCTCGAAATTGTCATAAGCTGCGAGTTGTCTCTATAAAATGGTCGTGAGTTTAAAATTGGCGGAAATTGAAAAAGTCATCGAGCAAGTTGAAACTTATTAAAACACTAATAGTGGAAGCATTTACTGCTGATATAAACCTAAAAGCGTGTTAAATAATCAAATTAAGGTATTCTATGCAAATTCCTCAAAATAGTGCGTGAAAAATTATTTCACAATAATGAAAATCAAATGGTGGCTGCCTGCAAAAATAAATTCATAAATACATATATAGTGATCACTCAACCAAACTACGCCATATAGTTAAGAAATCTGGATCAAAAAATTCCTCAAATTAGTGTGTGAATAATTATTTTGCAATTAACAAAATAACCGGTGTCCGTCTGTGAATTGACAAGCAACAAATTGAAGGCCTAATTACCACCAAAAGTGAAAGACATATAATAAAGACCAAAGTCCCATTCAAATCTGAGAATAACTGGGGTAAGGCTCAAACCAAAAAATTTTTACATATATAACCCCAAATTTGCCCAGTTGAGTCTCGAAATGGAGCGCGCATAATAATTTCATCACAAGCGTCACCTATACATGCACAAACTTGCAGCTGCAGACAATTTTGGCGACGGCCACAGCGGCGCCCTGCCAGACTGACGCACACACACACACACAAATTTTCTAAGAAATTTTCTACCCAACATTGCCAGGCCTAAAAACCACATACGGACAGAACTATATTCTACGCTAGCATTTATTATTTACACTTTCTTATTTTTTGCTAACTTTAAACATTTTTGCAAATTTAAAACATACAATTAAACATTACTGCCAAGCGATCATCGATACATCGATACATATACGCGCGCACTGATCTCAATACTATACCTTCCACTTTGCCGTCACTAAGTGATATTCTTGAAATTGTCATGAGCTGCGAGTTGTGTACTACGATACGGTTGCGAATGTGAAACTGTTCAAACTTATAAATACCCTAATAGTGAAAAGCATTTAATGCTTATAAGGAACTAAAGTACGAATTAAACAAATTTAGTGAATTTCAATCAAGTGTAAGTCTTTGAAACTAACAGTGCCCATAAAAGCCCCAAATAGCCGGTGTCTGTCTGTGTGTAAATAGGCACATATGCAATTAATTGTAAGTGAAACATAATTCAGGGCTTCTGACAAGTGAAATTTAGTCCTGCATGTCCAAAAAGAGTCCCAAAATAGTGTGTGCCAAGTGTGTCCACCTGCATGAATAAATGCATATATCCAAACACAAATTTAATCTAGTGAATAATCCACCAAATTATGCCATACAACTCCAATTTTGTCCATAAAAGTCTGAAAATAGTGCGCGATCAATTATTCCACAATTTTAGAGGAACCAATTTAAAGGCCTAACATTCCGACAAAAAGTGTAGAACAATAAATCAAGACCAAAAATCCCATTTAAATTTGAGAAAATCCGGGGTAAGTCTCGTACTAAACTTCTGCCAAATAACCCCAAATGATTTGCCCAGAGGAGTCTCAAAATGGCGTGCACATAGCAATTTCACCACTAGCGCCACGTATACATGCACAAACTTGCAGCTGCAGACAATTTTGGCGACGACCATTATGGCGCCCGGTCAGACTGACGCGCAATATACCCAGAACATTCCTTTTGGTCGGCATTGCCAGGCCTAAATTCTAACCTAAATAATAATATACTACAATGAATACTTGAATGTTATATAAAACTTATTATACGCCTATATCTATCCTTAAATAATAATCTTATAACCTTCTTGCAAATTACGAAATCTCAGTAGCGCGGTTAAATTTGTGCGCAAAACTTTTTTGAATTCATGAATGTCCGTTCTAAAATGTAAATACATACATGCATACGTGCCGCTGCATATGCTTGGAATTTTGATGGCCATTATACCGACGCCAACCCAAGCTGGCACATATGCACATACATATATGTTCATAAGCCTGTCGGCAACTGCCAAGAATATAAAAACACAATTGCAAATAATCGAATTTAACCAATTGACAAGCCTCTACAGACAATATGTATCAACATTCAAATTGCTAGCGAATTATATATTGTACACATATGAACACACTGGTCTGCTGGGTGGTTGCCCACCCAAATTTGTTAGTGTAAAAATTGGTAGAAATCGTTCAGCTGGCACTTATACATATACATATCCAAATTTTCCCAACAATTGTGACTGACACTGCTAAACTGAGCATAATTTTCCTGACTCTTTACCAATTTAAAATACAATACACAATCCATATTTTTGCTTGATAACATTTTGCTAGGTGATCGTCGATATATCGATACAGTGACAGGCGTACTGACCTCAAACGATAGTTTTCTCTCTGCCGCCACTAGGCGATAGTCTCGAAATTGTCATAAGCTGCGAGTTGTCTCTATAAAATGGTCGTGAGTTTAAAATTGGCGGAAATTGAAAAAGTCATCGAGCAAGTTGAAACTTATTAAAACACTAATAGTGGAAGCATTTACTGCTGATATAAACCTAAAAGCGTGTTAAATAATCAAATTAAGGTATTCTATGCAAATTCCTCAAAATAGTGCGTGAAAAATTATTTCACAATAATGAAAATCAAATGGTGGCTGCCTGCAAAAATAAATTCATAAATACATATATAGTGATCACTCAACCAAACTACGCCATATAGTTAAGAAATCTGGATCAAAAAATTCCTCAAATTAGTGTGTGAATAATTATTTTGCAATTAACAAAATAACCGGTGTCCGTCTGTGAATTGACAAGCAACAAATTGAAGGCCTAATTACCACCAAAAGTGAAAGACATATAATAAAGACCAAAGTCCCATTCAAATCTGAGAATAACTGGGGTAAGGCTCAAACCAAAAAATTTTTACATATATAACCCCAAATTTGCCCAGTTGAGTCTCGAAATGGAGCGCGCATAATAATTTCATCACAAGCGTCACCTATACATGCACAAACTTGCAGCTGCAGACAATTTTGGCGACGGCCACAGCGGCGCCCTGCCAGACTGACGCACACACACACACACAAATTTTCTAAGAAATTTTCTACCCAACATTGCCAGGCCTAAAAACCACATACGGACAGAACTATATTCTACGCTAGCATTTATTATTTACACTTTCTTATTTTTTGCTAACTTTAAACATTTTTGCAAATTTAAAACATACAATTAAACATTACTGCCAAGCGATCATCGATACATCGATACATATACGCGCGCACTGATCTCAATACTATACCTTCCACTTTGCCGTCACTAAGTGATATTCTTGAAATTGTCATGAGCTGCGAGTTGTGTACTACGATACGGTTGCGAATGTGAAACTGTTCAAACTTATAAATACCCTAATAGTGAAAAGCATTTAATGCTTATAAGGAACTAAAGTACGAATTAAACAAATTTAGTGAATTTCAATCAAGTGTAAGTCTTTGAAACTAACAGTGCCCATAAAAGCCCCAAATAGCCGGTGTCTGTCTGTGTGTAAATAGGCACATATGCAATTAATTGTAAGTGAAACATAATTCAGGGCTTCTGACAAGTGAAATTTAGTCCTGCATGTCCAAAAAGAGTCCCAAAATAGTGTGTGCCAAGTGTGTCCACCTGCATGAATAAATGCATATATCCAAACACAAATTTAATCTAGTGAATAATCCACCAAATTATGCCATACAACTCCAATTTTGTCCATAAAAGTCTGAAAATAGTGCGCGATCAATTATTCCACAATTTTAGAGGAACCAATTTAAAGGCCTAACATTCCGACAAAAAGTGTAGAACAATAAATCAAGACCAAAAATCCCATTTAAATTTGAGAAAATCCGGGGTAAGTCTCGTACTAAACTTCTGCCAAATAACCCCAAATGATTTGCCCAGAGGAGTCTCAAAATGGCGTGCACATAGCAATTTCACCACTAGCGCCACGTATACATGCACAAACTTGCAGCTGCAGACAATTTTGGCGACGACCATTATGGCGCCCGGTCAGACTGACGCGCAATATACCCAGAACATTCCTTTTGGTCGGCATTGCCAGGCCTAAATTCTAACCTAAATAATAATATACTACAATGAATACTTGAATGTTATATAAAACTTATTATACGCCTATATCTATCCTTAAATAATAATCTTATAACCTTCTTGCAAATTACGAAATCTCAGTAGCGCGGTTAAATTTGTGCGCAAAACTTTTTTGAATTCATGAATGTCCGTTCTAAAATGTAAATACATACATGCATACGTGCCGCTGCATATGCTTGGAATTTTGATGGCCATTATACCGACGCCAACCCAAGCTGGCACATATGCACATACATATATGTTCATAAGCCTGTCGGCAACTGCCAAGAATATAAAAACACAATTGCAAATAATCGAATTTAACCAATTGACAAGCCTCTACAGACAATATGTATCAACATTCAAATTGCTAGCGAATTATATATTGTACACATATGAACACACTGGTCTGCTGGGTGGTTGCCCACCCAAATTTGTTAGTGTAAAAATTGGTAGAAATCGTTCAGCTGGCACTTATACATATACATATCCAAATTTTCCCAACAATTGTGACTGACACTGCTAAACTGAGCATAATTTTCCTGACTCTTTACCAATTTAAAATACAATACACAATCCATATTTTTGCTTGATAACATTTTGCTAGGTGATCGTCGATATATCGATACAGTGACAGGCGTACTGACCTCAAACGATAGTTTTCTCTCTGCCGCCACTAGGCGATAGTCTCGAAATTGTCATAAGCTGCGAGTTGTCTCTATAAAATGGTCGTGAGTTTAAAATTGGCGGAAATTGAAAAAGTCATCGAGCAAGTTGAAACTTATTAAAACACTAATAGTGGAAGCATTTACTGCTGATATAAACCTAAAAGCGTGTTAAATAATCAAATTAAGGTATTCTATGCAAATTCCTCAAAATAGTGCGTGAAAAATTATTTCACAATAATGAAAATCAAATGGTGGCTGCCTGCAAAAATAAATTCATAAATACATATATAGTGATCACTCAACCAAACTACGCCATATAGTTAAGAAATCTGGATCAAAAAATTCCTCAAATTAGTGTGTGAATAATTATTTTGCAATTAACAAAATAACCGGTGTCCGTCTGTGAATTGACAAGCAACAAATTGAAGGCCTAATTACCACCAAAAGTGAAAGACATATAATAAAGACCAAAGTCCCATTCAAATCTGAGAATAACTGGGGTAAGGCTCAAACCAAAAAATTTTTACATATATAACCCCAAATTTGCCCAGTTGAGTCTCGAAATGGAGCGCGCATAATAATTTCATCACAAGCGTCACCTATACATGCACAAACTTGCAGCTGCAGACAATTTTGGCGACGGCCACAGCGGCGCCCTGCCAGACTGACGCACACACACACACACAAATTTTCTAAGAAATTTTCTACCCAACATTGCCAGGCCTAAAAACCACATACGGACAGAACTATATTCTACGCTAGCATTTATTATTTACACTTTCTTATTTTTTGCTAACTTTAAACATTTTTGCAAATTTAAAACATACAATTAAACATTACTGCCAAGCGATCATCGATACATCGATACATATACGCGCGCACTGATCTCAATACTATACCTTCCACTTTGCCGTCACTAAGTGATATTCTTGAAATTGTCATGAGCTGCGAGTTGTGTACTACGATACGGTTGCGAATGTGAAACTGTTCAAACTTATAAATACCCTAATAGTGAAAAGCATTTAATGCTTATAAGGAACTAAAGTACGAATTAAACAAATTTAGTGAATTTCAATCAAGTGTAAGTCTTTGAAACTAACAGTGCCCATAAAAGCCCCAAATAGCCGGTGTCTGTCTGTGTGTAAATAGGCACATATGCAATTAATTGTAAGTGAAACATAATTCAGGGCTTCTGACAAGTGAAATTTAGTCCTGCATGTCCAAAAAGAGTCCCAAAATAGTGTGTGCCAAGTGTGTCCACCTGCATGAATAAATGCATATATCCAAACACAAATTTAATCTAGTGAATAATCCACCAAATTATGCCATACAACTCCAATTTTGTCCATAAAAGTCTGAAAATAGTGCGCGATCAATTATTCCACAATTTTAGAGGAACCAATTTAAAGGCCTAACATTCCGACAAAAAGTGTAGAACAATAAATCAAGACCAAAAATCCCATTTAAATTTGAGAAAATCCGGGGTAAGTCTCGTACTAAACTTCTGCCAAATAACCCCAAATGATTTGCCCAGAGGAGTCTCAAAATGGCGTGCACATAGCAATTTCACCACTAGCGCCACGTATACATGCACAAACTTGCAGCTGCAGACAATTTTGGCGACGACCATTATGGCGCCCGGTCAGACTGACGCGCAATATACCCAGAACATTCCTTTTGGTCGGCATTGCCAGGCCTAAATTCTAACCTAAATAATAATATACTACAATGAATACTTGAATGTTATATAAAACTTATTATACGCCTATATCTATCCTTAAATAATAATCTTATAACCTTCTTGCAAATTACGAAATCTCAGTAGCGCGGTTAAATTTGTGCGCAAAACTTTTTTGAATTCATGAATGTCCGTTCTAAAATGTAAATACATACATGCATACGTGCCGCTGCATATGCTTGGAATTTTGATGGCCATTATACCGACGCCAACCCAAGCTGGCACATATGCACATACATATATGTTCATAAGCCTGTCGGCAACTGCCAAGAATATAAAAACACAATTGCAAATAATCGAATTTAACCAATTGACAAGCCTCTACAGACAATATGTATCAACATTCAAATTGCTAGCGAATTATATATTGTACACATATGAACACACTGGTCTGCTGGGTGGTTGCCCACCCAAATTTGTTAGTGTAAAAATTGGTAGAAATCGTTCAGCTGGCACTTATACATATACATATCCAAATTTTCCCAACAATTGTGACTGACACTGCTAAACTGAGCATAATTTTCCTGACTCTTTACCAATTTAAAATACAATACACAATCCATATTTTTGCTTGATAACATTTTGCTAGGTGATCGTCGATATATCGATACAGTGACAGGCGTACTGACCTCAAACGATAGTTTTCTCTCTGCCGCCACTAGGCGATAGTCTCGAAATTGTCATAAGCTGCGAGTTGTCTCTATAAAATGGTCGTGAGTTTAAAATTGGCGGAAATTGAAAAAGTCATCGAGCAAGTTGAAACTTATTAAAACACTAATAGTGGAAGCATTTACTGCTGATATAAACCTAAAAGCGTGTTAAATAATCAAATTAAGGTATTCTATGCAAATTCCTCAAAATAGTGCGTGAAAAATTATTTCACAATAATGAAAATCAAATGGTGGCTGCCTGCAAAAATAAATTCATAAATACATATATAGTGATCACTCAACCAAACTACGCCATATAGTTAAGAAATCTGGATCAAAAAATTCCTCAAATTAGTGTGTGAATAATTATTTTGCAATTAACAAAATAACCGGTGTCCGTCTGTGAATTGACAAGCAACAAATTGAAGGCCTAATTACCACCAAAAGTGAAAGACATATAATAAAGACCAAAGTCCCATTCAAATCTGAGAATAACTGGGGTAAGGCTCAAACCAAAAAATTTTTACATATATAACCCCAAATTTGCCCAGTTGAGTCTCGAAATGGAGCGCGCATAATAATTTCATCACAAGCGTCACCTATACATGCACAAACTTGCAGCTGCAGACAATTTTGGCGACGGCCACAGCGGCGCCCTGCCAGACTGACGCACACACACACACACAAATTTTCTAAGAAATTTTCTACCCAACATTGCCAGGCCTAAAAACCACATACGGACAGAACTATATTCTACGCTAGCATCTATTATTTACACTTTCTTATTTTTTGCTAACTTTAAACATTTTTGCAAATTTAAAACATACAATTAAACATTACTGCCAAGCGATCATCGATACATCGATACATATACGCGCGCACTGATCTCAATACTATACCTTCCACTTTGCCGTCACTAAGTGATATTCTTGAAATTGTCATGAGCTGCGAGTTGTGTACTACGATATGGTTGCGAATGTGAAACTGTTCAAACTTATAAATACCCTAATAGTGAAAAGCATTTAATGCTTATAAGGAACTAAAGTACGAATTAAACAAATTTAGTGAATTTCAATCAAGTGTAAGTCTTTGAAACTAACAGTGCCTATAAAAGCCCCAAATAGCCGGTGTCTGTCTGTGTGTAAATAGGCACATATGCAATTAATTGTAAGTGAAACATAATTCAGGGCTTCTGACAAGTGAAATTTAGTCCTGCATGTCCAAAAAGAGTCCCAAAATAGTGTGTGCCAAGTGTGTCCACCTGCATGAATAAATGCATATATCCAAACACAAATTTAATCTAGTGAATAATCCACCAAATTATGCCATACAACTCCAATTTTGTCCATAAAAGTCTGAAAATAGTGCGCGATCAATTATTCCACAATTTTAGAGGAACCAATTTAAAGGCCTAACATTCCGACAAAAAGTGTAGAACAATAAATCAAGACCAAAAATCCCATTTAAATTTGAGAAAATCCGGGGTAAGTCTCGTACTAAACTTCTGCCAAATAACCCCAAATGATTTGCCCAGAGGAGTCTCAAAATGGCGTGCACATAGCAATTTCACCACTAGCGCCACGTATACATGCACAAACTTGCAGCTGCAGACAATTTTGGCGACGACCATTATGGCGCCCGGTCAGACTGACGCGCAATATACCCAGAACATTCCTTTTGGTCGGCATTGCCAGGCCTAAATTCTAACCTAAATAATAATATACTACAATGAATACTTGAATGTTATATAAAACTTATTATACGCCTATATCTATCCTTAAATAATAATCTTATAACCTTCTTGCAAATTACGAAATCTTAGTAGCGCGGTTAAATTTGTGCGCAAAACTTTTTTGAATTCATGAATGTCCGTTCTAAAATGTAAATACATACATGCATACGTGCCGCTGCATATGCTTGGAATTTTGATGGCCATTATACCGACGCCAACCCAAGCTGGCACATATGCACATACATATATGTTCATAAGCCTGTCGGCAACTGCCAAGAATATAAAAACACAATTGCAAATAATCGAATTTAACCAATTGACAAGCCTCTACAGACAATATGTATCAACATTCAAATTGCTAGCGAATTATATATTGTACACATATGAACACACTGGTCTGCTGGGTGGTTGCCCACCCAAATTTGTTAGTGTAAAAATTGGTAGAAATCGTTCAGCTGGCACTTATACATATACATATCCAAATTTTCCCAACAATTGTGACTGACACTGCTAAACTGAGCATAATTTTCCTGACTCTTTACCAATTTAAAATACAATACACAATCCATATTTTTGCTTGATAACATTTTGCTAGGTGATCGTCGATATATCGATACAGTGACAGGCGTACTGACCTCAAACGATAGTTTTCTCTCTGCCGCCACTAGGCGATAGTCTCGAAATTGTCATAAGCTGCGAGTTGTCTCTATAAAATGGTCGTGAGTTTAAAATTGGCGGAAATTGAAAAAGTCATCGAGCAAGTTGAAACTTATTAAAACACTAATAGTGGAAGCATTTACTGCTGATATAAACCTAAAAGCGTGTTAAATAATCAAATTAAGGTATTCTATGCAAATTCCTCAAAATAGTGCGTGAAAAATTATTTCACAATAATGAAAATCAAATGGTGGCTGCCTGCAAAAATAAATTCATAAATACATATATAGTGATCACTCAACCAAACTACGCCATATAGTTAAGAAATCTGGATCAAAAAATTCCTCAAATTAGTGTGTGAATAATTATTTTGCAATTAACAAAATAACCGGTGTCCGTCTGTGAATTGACAAGCAACAAATTGAAGGCCTAATTACCACCAAAAGTGAAAGACATATAATAAAGACCAAAGTCCCATTCAAATCTGAGAATAACTGGGGTAAGGCTCAAACCAAAAAATTTTTACATATATAACCCCAAATTTGCCCAGTTGAGTCTCGAAATGGAGCGCGCATAATAATTTCATCACAAGCGTCACCTATACATGCACAAACTTGCAGCTGCAGACAATTTTGGCGACGGCCACAGCGGCGCCCTGCCAGACTGACGCACACACACACACACAAATTTTCTAAGAAATTTTCTACCCAACATTGCCAGGCCTAAAAACCACATACGGACAGAACTATATTCTACGCTAGCATTTATTATTTACACTTTCTTATTTTTTGCTAACTTTAAACATTTTTGCAAATTTAAAACATACAATTAAACATTACTGCCAAGCGATCATCGATACATCGATACATATACGCGCGCACTGATCTCAATACTATACCTTCCACTTTGCCGTCACTAAGTGATATTCTTGAAATTGTCATGAGCTGCGAGTTGTGTACTACGATACGGTTGCGAATGTGAAACTGTTCAAACTTATAAATACCCTAATAGTGAAAAGCATTTAATGCTTATAAGGAACTAAAGTACGAATTAAACAAATTTAGTGAATTTCAATCAAGTGTAAGTCTTTGAAACTAACAGTGCCCATAAAAGCCCCAAATAGCCGGAGTCTGTCTGTGTGTAAATAGGCACATATGCAATTAATTGTAAGTGAAACATAATTCAGGGCTTCTGACAAGTGAAATTTAGTCCTGCATGTCCAAAAAGAGTCCCAAAATAGTGTGTGCCAAGTGTGTCCACCTGCATGAATAAATGCATATATCCAAACACAAATTTAATCTAGTGAATAATCCACCAAATTATGCCATACAACTCCAATTTTGTCCATAAAAGTCTGAAAATAGTGCGCGATCAATTATTCCACAATTTTAGAGGAACCAATTTAAAGGCCTAACATTCCGACAAAAAGTGTAGAACAATAAATCAAGACCAAAAATCCCATTTAAATTTGAGAAAATCCGGGGTAAGTCTCGTACTAAACTTCTGCCAAATAACCCCAAATGATTTGCCCAGAGGAGTCTCAAAATGGCGTGCACATAGCAATTTCACCACTAGCGCCACGTATACATGCACAAACTTGCAGCTGCAGACAATTTTGGCGACGACCATTATGGCGCCCGGTCAGACTGACGCGCAATATACCCAGAACATTCCTTTTGGTCGGCATTGCCAGGCCTAAATTCTAACCTAAATAATAATATACTACAATGAATACTTGAATGTTATATAAAACTTATTATACGCCTATATCTATCCTTAAATAATAATCTTATAACCTTCTTGCAAATTACGAAATCTCAGTAGCGCGGTTAAATTTGTGCGCAAAACTTTTTTGAATTCATGAATGTCCGTTCTAAAATGTAAATACATACATGCATACGTGCCGCTGCATATGCTTGGAATTTTGATGGCCATTATACCGACGCCAACCCAAGCTGGCACATATGCACATACATATATGTTCATAAGCCTGTCGGCAACTGCCAAGAATATAAAAACACAATTGCAAATAATCGAATTTAACCAATTGACAAGCCTCTACAGACAATATGTATCAACATTCAAATTGCTAGCGAATTATATATTGTACACATATGAACACACTGGTCTGCTGGGTGGTTGCCCACCCAAATTTGTTAGTGTAAAAATTGGTAGAAATCGTTCAGCTGGCACTTATACATATACATATCCAAATTTTCCCAACAATTGTGACTGACACTGCTAAACTGAGCATAATTTTCCTGACTCTTTACCAATTTAAAATACAATACACAATCCATATTTTTGCTTGATAACATTTTGCTAGGTGATCGTCGATATATCGATACAGTGACAGGCGTACTGACCTCAAACGATAGTTTTCTCTCTGCCGCCACTAGGCGATAGTCTCGAAATTGTCATAAGCTGCGAGTTGTCTCTATAAAATGGTCGTGAGTTTAAAATTGGCGGAAATTGAAAAAGTCATCGAGCAAGTTGAAACTTATTAAAACACTAATAGTGGAAGCATTTACTGCTGATATAAACCTAAAAGCGTGTTAAATAATCAAATTAAGGTATTCTATGCAAATTCCTCAAAATAGTGCGTGAAAAATTATTTCACAATAATGAAAATCAAATGGTGGCTGCCTGCAAAAATAAATTCATAAATACATATATAGTGATCACTCAACCAAACTACGCCATATAGTTAAGAAATCTGGATCAAAAAATTCCTCAAATTAGTGTGTGAATAATTATTTTGCAATTAACAAAATAACCGGTGTCCGTCTGTGAATTGACAAGCAACAAATTGAAGGCCTAATTACCACCAAAAGTGAAAGACATATAATAAAGACCAAAGTCCCATTCAAATCTGAGAATAACTGGGGTAAGGCTCAAACCAAAAAATTTTTACATATATAACCCCAAATTTGCCCAGTTGAGTCTCGAAATGGAGCGCGCATAATAATTTCATCACAAGCGTCACCTATACATGCACAAACTTGCAGCTGCAGACAATTTTGGCGACGGCCACAGCGGCGCCCTGCCAGACTGACGCACACACACACACACAAATTTTCTAAGAAATTTTCTACCCAACATTGCCAGGCCTAAAAACCACATACGGACAGAACTATATTCTACGCTAGCATCTATTATTTACACTTTCTTATTTTTTGCTAACTTTAAACATTTTTGCAAATTTAAAACATACAATTAAACATTACTGCCAAGCGATCATCGATACATCGATACATATACGCGCGCACTGATCTCAATACTATACCTTCCACTTTGCCGTCACTAAGTGATATTCTTGAAATTGTCATGAGCTGCGAGTTGTGTACTACGATATGGTTGCGAATGTGAAACTGTTCAAACTTATAAATACCCTAATAGTGAAAAGCATTTAATGCTTATAAGGAACTAAAGTACGAATTAAACAAATTTAGTGAATTTCAATCAAGTGTAAGTCTTTGAAACTAACAGTGCCTATAAAAGCCCCAAATAGCCGGTGTCTGTCTGTGTGTAAATAGGCACATATGCAATTAATTGTAAGTGAAACATAATTCAGGGCTTCTGACAAGTGAAATTTAGTCCTGCATGTCCAAAAAGAGTCCCAAAATAGTGTGTGCCAAGTGTGTCCACCTGCATGAATAAATGCATATATCCAAACACAAATTTAATCTAGTGAATAATCCACCAAATTATGCCATACAACTCCAATTTTGTCCATAAAAGTCTGAAAATAGTGCGCGATCAATTATTCCACAATTTTAGAGGAACCAATTTAAAGGCCTAACATTCCGACAAAAAGTGTAGAACAATAAATCAAGACCAAAAATCCCATTTAAATTTGAGAAAATCCGGGGTAAGTCTCGTACTAAACTTCTGCCAAATAACCCCAAATGATTTGCCCAGAGGAGTCTCAAAATGGCGTGCACATAGCAATTTCACCACTAGCGCCACGTATACATGCACAAACTTGCAGCTGCAGACAATTTTGGCGACGACCATTATGGCGCCCGGTCAGACTGACGCGCAATATACCCAGAACATTCCTTTTGGTCGGCATTGCCAGGCCTAAATTCTAACCTAAATAATAATATACTACAATGAATACTTGAATGTTATATAAAACTTATTATACGCCTATATCTATCCTTAAATAATAATCTTATAACCTTCTTGCAAATTACGAAATCTTAGTAGCGCGGTTAAATTTGTGCGCAAAACTTTTTTGAATTCATGAATGTCCGTTCTAAAATGTAAATACATACATGCATACGTGCCGCTGCATATGCTTGGAATTTTGATGGCCATTATACCGACGCCAACCCAAGCTGGCACATATGCACATACATATATGTTCATAAGCCTGTCGGCAACTGCCAAGAATATAAAAACACAATTGCAAATAATCGAATTTAACCAATTGACAAGCCTCTACAGACAATATGTATCAACATTCAAATTGCTAGCGAATTATATATTGTACACATATGAACACACTGGTCTGCTGGGTGGTTGCCCACCCAAATTTGTTAGTGTAAAAATTGGTAGAAATCGTTCAGCTGGCACTTATACATATACATATCCAAATTTTCCCAACAATTGTGACTGACACTGCTAAACTGAGCATAATTTTCCTGACTCTTTACCAATTTAAAATACAATACACAATCCATATTTTTGCTTGATAACATTTTGCTAGGTGATCGTCGATATATCGATACAGTGACAGGCGTACTGACCTCAAACGATAGTTTTCTCTCTGCCGCCACTAGGCGATAGTCTCGAAATTGTCATAAGCTGCGAGTTGTCTCTATAAAATGGTCGTGAGTTTAAAATTGGCGGAAATTGAAAAAGTCATCGAGCAAGTTGAAACTTATTAAAACACTAATAGTGGAAGCATTTACTGCTGATATAAACCTAAAAGCGTGTTAAATAATCAAATTAAGGTATTCTATGCAAATTCCTCAAAATAGTGCGTGAAAAATTATTTCACAATAATGAAAATCAAATGGTGGCTGCCTGCAAAAATAAATTCATAAATACATATATAGTGATCACTCAACCAAACTACGCCATATAGTTAAGAAATCTGGATCAAAAAATTCCTCAAATTAGTGTGTGAATAATTATTTTGCAATTAACAAAATAACCGGTGTCCGTCTGTGAATTGACAAGCAACAAATTGAAGGCCTAATTACCACCAAAAGTGAAAGACATATAATAAAGACCAAAGTCCCATTCAAATCTGAGAATAACTGGGGTAAGGCTCAAACCAAAAAATTTTTACATATATAACCCCAAATTTGCCCAGTTGAGTCTCGAAATGGAGCGCGCATAATAATTTCATCACAAGCGTCACCTATACATGCACAAACTTGCAGCTGCAGACAATTTTGGCGACGGCCACAGCGGCGCCCTGCCAGACTGACGCACACACACACACACACACAAATTTTCTAAGAAATTTTCTACCCAACATTGCCAGGCCTAAAAACCACATACGGACAGAACTATATTCTACGCTAGCATTTATTATTTACACTTTCTTATTTTTTGCTAACTTTAAACATTTTTGCAAATTTAAAACATACAATTAAACATTACTGCCAAGCGATCATCGATACATCGATACATATACGCGCGCACTGATCTCAATACTATACCTTCCACTTTGCCGTCACTAAGTGATATTCTTGAAATTGTCATGAGCTGCGAGTTGTGTACTACGATACGGTTGCGAATGTGAAACTGTTCAAACTTATAAATACCCTAATAGTGAAAAGCATTTAATGCTTATAAGGAACTAAAGTACGAATTAAACAAATTTAGTGAATTTCAATCAAGTGTAAGTCTTTGAAACTAACAGTGCCCATAAAAGCCCCAAATAGCCGGTGTCTGTCTGTGTGTAAATAGGCACATATGCAATTAATTGTAAGTGAAACATAATTCAGGGCTTCTGACAAGTGAAATTTAGTCCTGCATGTCCAAAAAGAGTCCCAAAATAGTGTGTGCCAAGTGTGTCCACCTGCATGAATAAATGCATATATCCAAACACAAATTTAATCTAGTGAATAATCCACCAAATTATGCCATACAACTCCAATTTTGTCCATAAAAGTCTGAAAATAGTGCGCGATCAATTATTCCACAATTTTAGAGGAACCAATTTAAAGGCCTAACATTCCGACAAAAAGTGTAGAACAATAAATCAAGACCAAAAATCCCATTTAAATTTGAGAAAATCCGGGGTAAGTCTCGTACTAAACTTCTGCCAAATAACCCCAAATGATTTGCCCAGAGGAGTCTCAAAATGGCGTGCACATAGCAATTTCACCACTAGCGCCACGTATACATGCACAAACTTGCAGCTGCAGACAATTTTGGCGACGACCATTATGGCGCCCGGTCAGACTGACGCGCAATATACCCAGAACATTCCTTTTGGTCGGCATTGCCAGGCCTAAATTCTAACCTAAATAATAATATACTACAATGAATACTTGAATGTTATATAAAACTTATTATACGCCTATATCTATCCTTAAATAATAATCTTATAACCTTCTTGCAAATTACGAAATCTTAGTAGCGCGGTTAAATTTGTGCGCAAAACTTTTTTGAATTCATGAATGTCCGTTCTAAAATGTAAATACATACATGCATACGTGCCGCTGCATATGCTTGGAATTTTGATGGCCATTATACCGACGCCAACCCAAGCTGGCACATATGCACATAAATATCCAAAGTTGCCCAAATGATTCACAATAATTCCAATCTAATACAAACTCTACCAAAGCTGAGTACAGTTTTTAGCACTTACACCAATTTGTCCGTAATCTCCATAAGAACCCCTAAAAAAAAAAAACCAATTGAATTCATACGCATATAAACACAATAGTCAGCCGGTCATAATCAAGCCGCTGTCAACACAGTGACCCGGAGCCTGAGCACGTGCACCCACAAAAACCATCCCCAAACCCAAGATAGGTTAAGACTTCTGGTTTTTAGAACCTCTATAACATCCTCGGCGGTTACTGATTCAGAACATACACACTGATATTTGCTTGTCCCTGGTGGTAATCAATGTCCGTCCGTAATAATATGCATACATATTTCAAATAAGTATAAACACTGACTGAATAAACCTGCCTGGCGATATTCCACATCATTAAGCGGACCAAGTCAACAGCTCGGTCAACGTGAGACTAAAATTACCAACAAATCGCATAGTCAGTATAATAATGCCCTAGGGAAGTGCAAAGATACACCGACTAAACTTCTATAACAAAAAAAAAAAAAAAAAAAAAAAAAAAAAAAAAAAAACAGCTCAGCCACATAGAGCCTGTCATAACTGACATGAATAAACTGCTAGTATACCAAGAACAAGATACCCTAATAGCCTGTGTGTATACACACCAATCTAGTTTCAATCAGCTTAAGTAACGAGCCATTTCATCTACAACCAATACTGGGTTGTTAACTAGGCAAAATATTTCACCGAAATATTCGACTGCCTGTGACTATATGCACAAATTCATTGATAAGCTCACCTGCTCCACCAATCGCGAGCCAAAACAATCCATAAATTACTAACTCCATTATGCAATCAGTTCAGCCAATATGAGCCCAAAACCAAAAACAAAAAAAAAAAAAAAAAAAAAAAAAAAAAAAAAAAAAAACACACAACCGATCTACACAGTGTCAAGCCAAAGTAGTAATCTATTTCTCTCACCCAAGATCCAGCAAACGAAACTTGCAATTTGTTCCACACAACAATTTAACATCTAAAAAAAACTCTTAAGAGGATAAGCAAAGGATAAACAGGTCAGTCTAAGTTAGGACTATTTGCCCAATACAAGTTACTTAATTGTAAACCATTAACAATCTTTCTTGAATACATTTAAATTGTCCTTTGGAGCAGCCCATACTGACTTGCAAATGATCAGAGAAATTCCAAATACGGAGTATTTGCCCGCCGCTGATCTGCCTTATGCATGTGTATAAATTGTGTACACACACATAATGTACCAATACCAAATGCTCCAACGGTGATCATCTGATGCCAGCCTACGATTTGTCTGTGCCAGTACCAACCGCCCAAAGGACTTCAATCTATAATCTATAAATATACCTAGAATAGGAAGTTAGGTGTCTAGTCCACTCAAAAGCTGGGTGGGTGACCACAACTCTTAGCGTAGAAATATGTTCCTAGCACCATTGGGATGTTTCTCTATTCCTGCCCTTAATACATTGGTAGCAGTTTACCTGCCTCAGGCCTTGTAAACCAAACCTTTGTAAACTTAAGCACACAACTAAAAGCATACGCCCCCATATATAAATTTGACAATGACTTCGGTCGAGTGTTTATACATGCATATATGTGCAGCACGCATTTGTGCATATGCATACTCACACTATCATATAGCAATATCCACACCTAAAATAAACAAATATAAACCCAACCTTGATCAAACCCTCAAATATGAATATTCTAATAAATGAAACCAATAACTAACTAAAAATACAACCCAACCACAATAAACAACACCTTCAATAAAACATAACTAAGTAAACAATAAACAAAAACAATAACAAACTAAGCATCACAACGCAATTCGCAACATTAATCTCCCCACAACCCCTCTTTATTGCCCGACCAACCTGTCACTCACAAATAAACTAAATACAGCAACCGCGTCCACCAAACTGAACGCTACCCTAAATAAATAAATAAACCTACCCGATTCAATTAACACACAACTCACCTGTACACAATATCAAAGACATATAATTTCCACTATACTAATGAAAAACTTTCTTTACCATCTTTACTCCAATTAAACAGCTCAGCCAACATGAGCGCAACTGGCAACCAAAACCAACCAATACCCTACATAATTGTCCCAAATGTTGAAAACGCGGAAAAACTTATAAAAATGGCAGAAATAGAAGTGGGTAAAACTGGCTTTTACACCACTACCACCAAAAGTGACGGAATAAGATTCAAATGTGACACCATGGAAAAGCACAAGGCCCTATTAGAATTTTGCACCAAACTACACAGCAGTACGTTCGTCAAGAGCAGCCTGCATGAGCCAAAAAGATACAGGATTATCATAAAAGGACTCCATTCATCCACATCCCCAGATTGGATAAAGTACAAACTCGCAGCACATGGACATACAGTACTATACTGCAAAAACTTAATTGGCCAAAAGTCACAAACCCCAACAAATACATTTCGAGTTGACCTTGAATACAAAGAAAACAATAACGAAATAATGGACATTAATAAAATCGGCACCTACATAGTAAATATTGAAAAATCTATTGCACACACCAGCATAATAAAACAATGCCACAAGTGCCAAAAATTCAACCACCAAACCGAAGACTGCAAGAGCCGTGAATTCGTCTGCTATAAATGTGCAGGCAAGCACCACTCGGCAGAATGCTCAAAGCCCAGAGAAAAGGAAGGGAAATGCGCAAATTGTGGCGGAAACCACATTGCCACATACCAAGGATGCCCAATCTATAAAGAAGCACTTGAAAACTACGAGACCCAACCCAGCACACCCAAAAAACAAAGCCACAACCAAATGAACAATGCTACTCCACTACTATCACCACCAAGGCCCAAAAACGCACCCAGAAGACAATATGACCTACTGGAACAGCTAGAATTACTGAAAATATTCGAAAAAAACTTGAAGGACTTAAACGAAGCACACAGGGAAACCCAGAACTAATAACAATAACAATAACAATAATAACAATAACAATAATAATAATAATAATAATAATAAAAACAATAATAATAATAATATTAATAATAATAATAATAAAAAAAAAAAAAAAAAAAAAAAAAAAAAAAAAAAAAAAAACAACTAACTAACCAACTAAACTACGCACTAAAGTAAGTTAACAGATACCTAATACCTGTAATAAAACCTGAAGTTATATCAAAATATATAAAAAAAAAAAAAAAAAAAAAAAAAAAAAAAAAAAAAAACAATAATAATAATAATAATAATAATAAAAACCAAAATCAGTCTTTTCATCAAGCACCCTAGAGTCCATTACTCCTAGATAACAGCACATGTCACCCAAGCCCTAGACCCTTATTCCACCTAAACAGCATCTACCAATTTGATACCTGCATTCATAATGCATCAAACCACCAGCAAAATAATCTTAACTTATCAGTTACCATCTCTCATATTCTTTCTCCCCCCAGCATCTCCCCAAACATTAAAAAAAAAAAAAAAAAAAAAAAAAAAAAAAAAAAAAAAAAATATATATATATATATATATAAATATATATATAGAGACATATATATAAAAATAAAAACAGCTACAACCAAAATGAGCAAGCAAACTAAGAGAAAACCAACGCCTTCCAAAAATAAGGCCAAAGAAATAACCCCAACAAGCTCGCCACCAGAAAAGATTGTCATAATTGCAAATAAGCAAATATGTCCACCCAACACCGATGAGGCTCAAAAGGTGCTTGAAGACATTGAAAAACAAGCACAAATATATAAATCACTACAAAACTCGACACCCATCACCAGAAGCCCAGCTACACTAGGTCTGAGCAACGACAACAACAACACAACTGAACCAACAACAACTACAAAAACCAATCTAATTAACAGCCCAGCTACCAATAACAATTCCAATACGGACAGCGATGAAGAAATATCAGTAATATCCCATGAAAGCGACAACCAAATACACCCGAATGAAAATTTACCCCCAAATGAGCAAAAGCCATATCGCGTACTGGTCCCAGAAACCAATGACGCCAATGAACTAATCAAAAAGGCAATAGACACTATTGGAATCGAATCCTTCACTACCAGTGCCAATGCTGGAAAAGGAATAATCTTCGAATGCCAAACAATTACAAAACAAAAACAACTACTTGAACTCTTTACAGAACTCAACTGCAACGCTCGCACTCAAAGCAAAAATGAATCCAGATATAAAATTATCATAAAAGGATTACATTCGTCCACTCCCAAAAACTGGATCATTGAACAACTAGCTACACTAGGCTTCACTGCATGCCATGTAAACAATATAATTGGGCACATCTCCAAAACCCCAACTAACTCGTTCAAAGTTGACCTACTCTCGGACCCTAGCAACAACAACAAGGACATCCTCAAAATCACCATGCTAGGAACATACAAAGTCCAAATTGAACAACCAACTCGCCCCATCAGAATCCAGCAATGCCATAATTGCCAACGCTTTGGACATCTATACGAAAACTGCAGGTCTAAAACCCCCACTTGCTTTAAATGCGCCGGATCCCACTCATCCAGCGAATGCACCAAACCAAGAAATATAGACGGCAAGTGTGCTAACTGTGGGGACAATCATGTTGCTACCTTTAAAGGCTGCCCAACCTATAGGGAAGCGCTCAAAAAACTCACCAATAGCTTCACAAAGCGAGCCTCACAAGCATTGGAATCCCTCAATTGGAGTAATGAACCAATATTCAGGAACGTAATGACCAATATCACCCACAACCAGCCAGAAAGGCCCTGTCCACAATACATTCCAATAACAAGACCAAGCAGAGATAATCTTAGTCCATATGTCCCAACATACCAATACAGTGCCCCCTGGCCAGCACAAGTAGGGTACAAAATACCAATTCCCCAAAACTACATACCGATGAACATGGCCACCCAAACTTTCACCATGATGGAGCCTGGAATGGAAAACATGACTAATCAAAGGAAACACTATCAGCAAAACTGGGACCAAAACCAAAATCAAAACCATAACCAATAATAAATAAAAAAAAAAAAAAAAAAAAAAAAAAAAAAAAAAAAAAATAAATAGAACAAGTGGAAACCTAACATACTTGGGGAATTAATATAAATAAAATAAATTGAACAATAACTACAAACATCCCCAAGTACAATTCACTTAATTTTCAAATCAAACTACAATTTTAATTTTATAACTTAAGCATCACAAACCCAATTTACAACTTTAATTTTCTTAACACATAATGCAAAATGAATATGCATAAAAATTTATAAATTTATAATTTATTTATATAATATCACATACATATACACTATACTACAATTACCCTACATTATATTATCTTAATACATAAACTATCCTTACTTACCTATACTATGTTACACTATATTACTATATATCACTCACCAGTAACACCTACCTAAACCATGATGAAATAAACAACTGACATGTAAGCCAAAATAGAATTAAAATAATAAAAAAAAAAAAAAAAAAAAAAAAAAAAAAAAAAAAATCAATAATCTACATGCACACTACTCACTCAAAGTAAAAACATTAATGTTCCAAAATTATACTTTTCCTATACTGCCTCACTACATACATCTATATATCTATATCTCCTACCCCCAAAACAGACTTACCTACAATCCTGGAAATAATCAATAAAAGCCAACTACACAACATCATGTCCAATAACATACAGAACCACGACCTTAGAATCATCAGCTGGAACTCAGCTGGAATTCTTAACAAAATCTCTGAACTAGAAGCCCACATCCACCAAAATAGCATTGATATAGTCTTAATATCAGAGACCCATCTAATCGACTCGGATATAGATACAATAACAATTGAAGGATACGACCTGTATATAGCCAATCATCCAACCAACCGGAGAAGAGGAGGTTCTGCTGTCATAGTCAATAGAAATATCGAACACATTGCCTTACCAGCAATCACCACACAGGCCATACAATGTACTCCAATCAGCGTCGCCCTTAAAGATCAACCGCTAATCAATATAGCTTCCATTTATTGCCCACCATTGAAGGGCCTAACTTCCAAAGCTTTTGAAACAATATTTAAACTATTCGAACCTAGATTCATATTAGCCGGTGACTGGAATGCCAAACACCGCTGGTGGGGCAATGACCGTGCCTGCAGACGAGGCAATGAACTTATCAACTGCATTAGGACACATAATTATAACATTCTGGCCACTGGCTCACCCACTCACTACCCCTATGATCAGCAAAAAAGACCTTCTGCTATTGATTTTGCCATATACTGTGGAATACAAAACAATCGTCTACAAATCGAATCCTCACTTGATTTAGATTCAGATCACCTCCCACTCTGTATCCACCTACTAAATAAACCAGTGATAGTCTCCCATAAGAAACCAATTTTAACACCAAATGCCAATATTAAAAAATTCCACCACTGGCTAAACCAATGTATTCATCTTAACACTGAGATAACAACTAGTCAAGACATAGATGATGCGGTCGATATAATAACCAGAAACATCCACCAAGCTGCTAAATATGCAGCAAACGTCCCCACAAATCTTCCAACAAATAGCCGTTTTCGCACATATCACACCCCAAATAGACGCATCCAAAATATGCTAATCGTTAAAAGATACTTCAAATACAATCACCTCGTTTTAAGAGATAACTCAGCCAAAAGACCCCATAAGCTAACATCTGATAGAGTCAAAAAAGCACTCCAACATAGGAAAGCACAACGCCTAGATAGATCACTTCTAGCCATAGATCCCAAAGATCGATATAGTCTACAGAAGCTTTGGAAGTTTACCAAACAAATAAAAAGACAACCAATGCCAAACTTACCTGTAAGACGACTTACAGTACAAACTAACACAAATACACCGGACAAACAAAGTAGCTGGTGTAAAACAACCATAGAAAAAGCAGAAGCATTTGCCCAACATCTAGAGACTAGATTCAAGCCAAACCTTATCAATAGCCCAGAAGAAAGATCACTTATTGAAAACCAAATTGCATCCCAGCAAATGCCTAATAACCACATATTCAAACCAATTACCCTAGCAGAAATCAAAGCCCAAATCAAGAGACTACCTAATAATAAAGCCCCAGGACTAGACAGAATTGATAATTATACCATTAAAGCCTTACCAGACCCTGCACTAATATATCTCATACTAATCTTCAACAACTCACTTCGACTCGGCCATTTTCCACAGCAATGGAAAATGGCTGTGGTCACAATGATACTCAAGCCAGGTAAACCAACTGATCAGCTTGCCTCATACAGACCCATTAGCCTACTTTCAGGCCTATCAAAAATATTAGAAAAACTACTATTAAGCCGAATGTTCAAAGTCAAAACTTTCATAGAATATATTCCAAGCCACCAATTCGGATTTCGCTACGAGCATAACACCGAACAACAACTAGCAAGAGTCACCCAATTTATACTTAGAGCCTATGAAAAAAATCAATTCTGTTCCGCCGTCTTTATAGACATACAAGAAGCCTTTGACCGAGTCTGGCATCCAGGACTCCTCTTCAAACTCAAGCCCATACTCCCACACGCCCTATATGCCGTCATTAGGAACTACTTAACAAACAGAACATTCATGGTTGAATGCCACGAAGGTGCCAGATCGACCACAAAATATATCTCTGCCGGAGTGCCACAAGGCAGCGTCTTGGGACCAATTCTATACACCATTTACACAGCAGACATGCCCACCCCAGACAAAGTCTACACCAATATCCCACGCAACACAACAGCCCTACTGGCAACATATGCTGATGATACAGTTGTCATGTTTGCCGACGAATCATCCATCACAGCTATTCAGCAAGTAAGCATAATGCTTGAAACCCTAGCTAACTGGACCAATAAATGGTGCATTAAAATTAATGC